TGTCAAATCTAGTCTTGAGATGGTCTCTAAATTCAGGTGGGATATACTCAAGGTCATACCTTGGCTCTTGTGGACTTGTTCTAATTTTCTTCAGTTTCACCTTGAACTTGCATATGAGGAATTGATGGTCTGTTCCGAAGTCAGCCCCTGGCCTTGTTCTAACTGATGATATTGAGCTTTTCTATCATCTTTTTTCCATAGACGTAGTCGATTTGATTCCTGTGTATTCCGTCTGGCGAGGTCCATGTATATAGTCGCCGTGTACATTGGTGAAAAAAGGTATTTGCAGTGAAGAAGTTGTTGGTCTCACGAAATTCTATCATGGGCTCTCTGGCATCATTTCTATCACCAAGGCCATATTTTCCAACTACCGATCCTTCTTCTTTGTTTCCAACTTTCGCATTCCAATCACCCATAATTATCAATACATCCTGACTGCATGTTCGATCACTTTCAGACTGCAGAAGCTGGTAAAAATCTTCAATTTCTTCACCTTCGGACTTAGGGTTTGGTGCATAAATTTGAATAATAGTCATATTAACTGGTCATCCTTGTAGGCGTATGGATATTATCCTACCACGGACAGCGTTGTACTTCAAGATAGATCTTGAAACGTTCTTTTTGATGATGAATGCAATGCCATTCCTCTTCAAGTTGTCATTCCCGGAGTAGCAGACCATATTATTGTCTGATTCAAAATGGCCAATATCAGTCCATTTCAGCTCACTAATACCTAGGATATTGATGTTTATGTGTTCCATTTCATTTCTGATGATTTCCCATTTTCCTAGATTCGTACTTTGTACATTCCACGTTCTGATTATTAACGGATGTTTGCAGCTCTTTCTTCTCGTTTTGAGTCATGCCACACCAGCAAATGAAGGTCCCAAAAGCTTGACTCTATGCACGTTATTAAGGTGGACTCTACTTTGAGGAGGCAGCTTTTCTGTGGTCGTCTTCTGAGTGCCTTCCAACATAGGAGGCTCATCTTCCGGCACTATATCAGGCAGTGTTCTGCTGCTATTCGTAAGGTTTTCACTGGCTAATTGTTTTCAGAAGTAGACTGTTGGGTCCTTCTTCCTAGTCTATCTTAGTCTGAAAGCTCAGCTGGAACCTGTCTGCCATGGGTGACCCTGCTGGTATCTGAGTACCGGTGGCATAGCTTTCAGCATCATAGCAACATGCAAGCCCCTGCAGTACGACAAACTGACAGACACGTGGAGGTTCAGCTGACTAGTGACTTTCTTTTCTGGTAATCATTTGAGCTAATTTAGAGTTTCTGGGTGGTACAAATGGTTAATGCACTCAGCTGCTGACTGATAGGTTGCAAGTTTGAGTCTACCCAGAGGCTCCTCAGCAGAAAGACCTGATGATCTACTTCTGAAAGTTCAGCCACTGAAAATTCTGTGGAGCACAGTTCTACTTTGACACACATGGGATCGCCATGAGTAGGAATCGACTTGATGGCAACTGGAACTGGTTTGAGTTAGTTATCAGGATTGGTGAATCAAATGTTTTATGTAACTGATTTTCCAACTGATTGATATACAATTCATGAATATAGTAAAGCTACTCAAGACAAGAAGCTTTTTGCCAGTTTGAGAGAACTTCATCCATACCTTTTCATTTTTAAATAGCTTGAAGTTATATTGGTTGTGTTAATGGCAGCTGCCTTTGGGCTGGTGAAGATATAGGGGAACCCAAGAGCCTTTGAAGGAGCCCTGCTTCTGTAAAGATTACCCATTGCCATTAATTATTCCAAATTACCACAATGATTACCCATTGTCAATTCTGACTCATAGCATCCCTATAAGACGGAATAAAACTGCCCCACAGGGTTTCCAAGGCTGTGATCTTTATGGAAGCAAACTGCTACATCTTTCTCCAGAGGACTGGCTGGTGAGTTTGAGCTACTGACCTTTCGGTTAGCAGCTGAGCCCTTAACCACTGCGCCACCAGGGCTCCTATTCTGTAAAGATTACAGCCTTGGAAACCCTACAGGGCAGTTGTACTCTGTTCTATAGGGCCACTATGAGTCAGAATTGACTCTTTGTCACACAACAACTAGAGCCTTTGTGTTTTACAGTGGTTAAGCCTCAGCAATAATAGGGAAGCCAAGGAAGTGGCTGATGGAGATTTCTAGAAATAGAGCACTAACCAACAACCACAAATTTCTCCCGTCTAATAAAATTTCTCCCCAAATGGTAGTGTCAACACAATACAAATGGTTTCTTTAAATCACATTAACTCCTTCAACAAATATTGGGTATCTACAATATAAATTAAGATGGTGTTAGCTGCTTTTTTTTTTCAGAGCCTTGGTGGTGCAGTGGTTAAGAGCTTGGCTGCTAACCAAAAGGTTGGCAGTTAGAATTTACTAGCCGCTCCTTGGAAACCCCGGGGCAGTTCTAGTCTGTCCTATAGGGTCGCTATCAGTCAGAATCCACTCAAAGGCAATAGATTTGTTTGTTTGTTTTTTTTAGTTACTTTAACAGATACATCCCAAAATCTCAGTGACTTAACATAATAGAAACATATTTCTTGCTGATCTAAAGTTTAATGTGGGTGAACCTAGTTCAGTGGGAGTAGTGAGGGGTTCTCAGCTCCATGGAGTCATTCAGGGACTCAAGCTGACAGAGCAATGCCATTCTTAACACAAGAACCCTGAGGCTGCCCTGAGCCTCAACATCCAGCTGGCAGATGGAGGGGAGAAAAGATGGAATGTGGGTAGTGTTTGTGTGACAAGCCTTGAAGTGGAACACAGTGGGACAGCAGAAACTGCGTTGGAGAGACTGAGAGGTTTAGGGTTAGCTATTGACGGGTGCCTTGGCCAGAAAAAAGTTTGTACTAATCGTTCAGTTACCACTTTCTAATTACTGCAGCAAATGGAATGATTTGTTTTTATGGCTCCTTGATTCATCCCTCTGGATCACATTCCAGAAGGAGTGGGTCAATTATTGGTGCAACCAGCCCTGTCTGGACATATTTCATTCCAATGCAGTCTTCCCAACTCACCTGCTTTTTTTCCTTCTTCCTTTTCCTTCTTTCCTCCCTCCTTCCGTCCCTTTTTTCCTTTGTTCCTTCCTTTATGAAGTTTTTTTGTGTGTGTGGTAATATATATATAGAAGATTTGTTATTTTAACAGTTTTTAAGTGTACCCCCAAACCAAACCAAATCCACTGCCCCGAGTTGATTCCAGCTCATAGCGACCCCATAGAGAGACGGAGTAGAACTGCCCCGTAGGGTTTCCAAGGCTGTAAATCTTTACTGAACAGACTGCCACGTGTTTCTCTCATGGAGCAGCCGGTGGGTTCAAACCACCGACCTTTAGGTTAGCAGCCAAGCGCTTTAACCACTGTGCCACCAGAGCTCCTTTTAAATATACAGTGATATTAATTATATTCACAATGTTGTGCAATCATCAGCAGTATTTGTTTTTAAAATTTTTTCATCACCCCAAACAGAAATTCCAAACAGTAACTCCCATTCCTCTCTCCCTCAGCCCCTGGTAACTACTAGTCTACTTTCTGTCTATGTAGATTTGCCTATTTTGGACTTTTCGTGTAAGTGGGATCATACAATACTTGTCCTTTTGTGTCTGGCTAATTTTACTTAACATAATGTTTTCCAGATTCATCCATGTTTAGCATGTATCAGAACTTCATTTCTCTTTGTAGCTGCATAATATTCCATTGTGTACATGTACGACATTCTCTGTCCATTCTTTGATGGACATTTAGGTTGTGTCCACCTTTTTACTATTGTAAATAGTGCTGCAGTGAACATTGGCATACAAGTATCTGTTTGAGGCCCTGCTTTCGAGTCTTTTGAGTATATACCTAGGAGTGGAATTGTTGTATCATATGGTGATTCCATGTTTAACTTTTTGAGGAACACGGACTTTTTCATTTCACAATTCATACCCTCCAAGGTTGGGAGGGTGGGGTGTTTGATAAATTTTTTTTCTAAATTTCATAAAGATGGAAAGCTTTTGCAAACAGTGAGTAGAGTTTACAAAATAAATTCCAACAGAAAAGTAACTCTTAAGGTTCTAAAAAACTACTGGAGGGCTTAGAAAAAATTTAAAGTAAGTTTTAAAGATTTTATACTGTTATTTTAAAAATATTACTTACAGTGTTCTATTTTGCTGAATTTTTTTCAGGATTACCATATTTGGGGTGTGGTGGCAGCTATGGGTGGCAAATTTGTCATAGGGGCAGCATTTGGCCTCATTTACCTTTATACAGCAGAGCTGTATCCAACCATTGTAAGGTAAGGGTTATTTATTTGTTGTTTTCCTCTAATCTTTCACTTATGTATCATTTATTTGGCCCATGAGTTCAAATGATTTCTTTCCATCAGAGTTATCTGGAGCTCTGAGATAGGGGAGAGTTACATGATGTTGCTAATTTTGACTCTAAGACTTTGCCTATACCTCATTAGCAATGACATTAAAAAATCACTTTGCAATAACATTCTAATATCCCAAAATCATTTAAAATCTCAAATACAGTTGACCCCACTAATTTTCCATATGACTCGAAGCTGATTTTCTCAGAATGTGTCACTCATGTTCTAGATGTTAGTAGTATACCCAGAGGTGCCTTGGAAGAAAGGCTTGGTGATCTACTTCCGAAAAATCAACCATTGAAAACCCTATGGAGTACAGCTCTTCTCTGACATGTGGGGTTGCCATGAGTCAGAACTGACTCCATGGCAACTGATTGTGGTTTGTTATTGATTTTTTCAGGTCGCTGGCTGTGGGAAGTGGCAGCATGGTATGTCGTGTGGGAAGCATCATGGCCCCGTTCTGCGTATACCTCACGAGCATTTGGATCTTCATGCCACAGGTGTTCATCAGTTAAATAAAACGTTACTGAGATAGCAGAGAGGCAGAGTCGCTAATTGCACTAAATATTTTTATTTATTGGAGGCCAATTTATAATACAATAATGGGAATTTGTAGAAAAATGAACAGTTGACCATTCGGTAAGTAGGGTGGTTGTTGCTGTGTTTTTGTTTGTTGATTGCCTTCCAGCCCCTGGTGAGCTGTTAATTACAATGCTGCCTGCCAGAAACCGGCCTGTCCTCACTGGTGCCCACCAGAAGCCAGGCCTACAATAGGGAGAGCTCTGTCCCTGTCCTCTCTTGGTGCCTCTGCCCACATCACCTGGCCCAGGTCTCCCTACCTTCCTCAGCCTGGGTCCACAGGCTTTCTCCCATTCCCAGCCCTTGCCTCTGGTGGTCAAGGTGAATTACAGTTCTTGGAAAGATTCTGTGGTCCTGGTGCTTGATGGAGAGGTTCAGGGATCTATGGTTTTCAACTTAAACCTGAGGGGCTCTTCATGGGCCTGGCCTCCCTTATGCTTCCTTCCGCCTCTCGTACTGTGAGCTGTTGCCTGGTCATGAGGAGGAAGAGTGGTTGTGTTCACTTCGCAGATTTCCTCATGTAGGAGCTGACAGCTTGGGAAGCTACGGGCAGCACTGTTACACCTGGGTTTAGTATGACCCTGCTTGTCATGAAGAGAAGAAGGGGCAGGGTGGTGAGTGGTGCTGCCATTTCCAGCAGTGACTTAGGGGGCAGCCTTCCGTCTCCTGGCCCTCGTCCTACTCCTCCAAGCCCTCTCTCCCCCCTGGTTCCTCCCTTGTTGCTCTCCATAGATTGTTCCCTCTTGGTCTTCGCCAGTGCCTCTGCTTTCTCTCTCTGATTGCCCCATGAATAGACTCATTCTCCGAGCTTCTAGCCTCGGCTCCCTTCCTGTCTCCCTGCATGTACACCTCTCCTAGCTTCCGAGCTGTCTTCCAGACTGCGGACCCATGTTTCACTGGCCTCATGAATATCCTCCCCGGGTGTCTTACAAGGACAAATTCTCCAGTTCCAGTAGAAACTGGTCAGTGGCTCAAATTTCCTCCTCCTCCTGTCTCACACGTTCGGTTAGGGAGTCGCTGGCCTCAACTGTGAATCTTTAGCGTCAGCTTTTTATTCCTCACTGTTCTTCTTTCCTTCTTTTCTCAAAGCATTCATCATCAAATCCTCACCTTCTGCCTCAAAACCACCTCTTTCTGCCTGCTTTCAGTGTCCCAGTTCAAACCCTCAGCACTTTCTGCCTGCCAGGTCTTCTCTTTGCCCTCTATGCCCCAACCCACCAGAATAGCTCATCTAACTGCCCTCATCACCTTCAGAATGAAATCCAGACTCAGTCCCATACTCGAGGCCTTCCAAGTTTGGCCTCCTGCCCATCTTCCCTGTTTGTTTTGTGTCCTCACACCGTGTCATCCTCTACTCCACGGCTTTGCAGTCCTTCCACCTCCTGTGTGTTCTCATACATATGCCACCCTTTCCTCCCCTATGCCTCTGCCTAAATAGCCTCTTGGCAGATGTCTTATTTATCTAGAGCTGCTATAACAGAAATACCACAACAGAAATTTATTTTCTCACAGTTTAGGAGCCTAGCAGTCCAAATTCAGGGTGCTGGCTCTAGGGAAAGGCTCTGTCAGCTCTCAGTCCTCGTCTCTTCGAGCTTCTGCCCCTGGGCGATTTTTATATGGCTTGGCATCTGTCCATCCCCTATCTCTGCTTCTCTGGATTGCTTGTTTAATCTCCTTTACATCTCCAAAGAGATTAATTTAAGACACATCCTACATGAATCCTGCCTTATTAACACAACAAAGATAACCTATTCCCAAATGGGATTATAACCAAAGGCACAAAAAAAAAACCCACAAAAAACCAAACCCGTTGCAATCAAGTTGAGTCCGACTCGTAGCGACCCTAGAGGACAAAATAGAACTGCCCTATAGAGCTTCCGAGGAGCAGCTGATGGATTCGAACAGCCGACACTTTGGTTAGCAGCTGAGCTCTTAACCAGGGTTCTAATCAAAGGCATAGAAGTTAGGATTTACAACATATAGTCTTGGGGGACACAGTTAAATCCATAACAGCAGAGAATGCTTCTCGCTCACATCTCCCACTGCCAAACTTCCACTCGTCCTTTAAGACCCAGATCAAACCCTCCTTCTTCCAAGAAGGCAGCCTAGATCCGGTGACCAACCTCTCCCTTCTCCATGGACCCATAGCATTTAGTGTGTCCCCCTCCACAATCCACAATCGTAGTCTGTCTTCGTTATTTCCATGTATGTGTTTGTCTCTGCAGTCAGGCTGTTGAAGTCTTGCAGGGTAGGGAGTTTTCTATCCCCACAGCATTTCCCTAACCTTGTGTGCAACCCATGTTATTATTTACTTAATATTTATCATCAAATAGACTGATTTTTTAGAATTAACTTTGTGCTAAGCAATAATATCAGTGAAATTGTGGGTGTTATGCTAGTTGTATGTTTTCCTAAAATACATTAACATGATCTCACAAGTAATAAAATATTTGTTACCACCTACAGTCACCTTGCACGACATACAAGTGGTATCATACTGCTCTTTGGGAACCACTGGCTTAGCACAAAAGTTGGCTTAATTAGGGTGTTGAGATGCCAGCATCTTTCAAGGGCCTGACCCTGAGGTTGAGAAATGATATGGGCTATCTGGTCTGTGCAGGGAGGTGGTTTTGGAGAGGCCACCACCCTTTTTAGGGCATGAACTTTTCTAGAAGTATCTTCCTTGCACTAGCACTTTGTGTTCCTCATTAAAAAAATAAAAGATAAAAGTGGAAGAGCTGTTTTTTAAAATCATAAGCTGAAACACAAAAAGAAAAAAAGTAGTCTTCTATAATATCACTAAATTTTACTAAAAAATTAGGAAAAATACTAAAACCAAAAAAACTTTTTTTTTATAGGACATCTGTAAGGGTCAATTAAGGACTATGGCATTAAAAGGAATCTTATTTTACTTACAGAATACTTAAATAGTACATATTATATGACAAGCTCTATATTAAGTACTTAACAAATATTAGCCTATTTATCTGTGTATTAATTTCTTAGTGCTGCTGTAACAGAAGTACAACAAATGGATGGCTTTAATGAACAGAAATATATTTTCTCACAGTTTAGGGGCTAGAAGTCCAAATTCAGGATGCTGGCTTTAGGGGAAGGCCCTCTTTGTCTGCTCTGGGGAAAATCTTTGTCTAAGCTTCTGTAGCATTCTTCCTGGAGATCTCCACGTGGCATCTCTCTCTCATCTCTCATTTGTGCTTGCTGGCTTCTGTGCCTAATCTGCTCCTTTTGTATTTCAAAAGTGGTTACATTTAAGACACATCCTACACTGATGTAACTTCATTAACATAACAAAAAAATCTCTTTTCCCAAATGGGATTACATCCACAGGTATGTTAGGATTTACAACACATATTCTGGGGGGTAGGGGAGTCTGGGGAAACAATTCAATCCATAACAAAATGAAACCCACTGCCATCAAGTTATTCTGACTCATAGCGACCCTATAGGACAGAATAGAACTGCTGCCCCGTAGGTTTCCAAGGCAGTAAGTCTTTACTGGATAGACTGCCACATCTTTCTCCCATGGAGCAGCTGGTGGGTTCGAACCACCGACGTTTTGGTTAGCAGCCGAGCTCTTTAGTCACTGCACCACCAGGGCTCCTCTCAATTCATAGCAGCCCTCATATAATGCAAATACTATTATTATCCCCATTTTACAGATAAGGAGACTGAGGTACAGAAAATAATTACTAGCCTGAGGTCACATATTTTAAAGGTGACAGAACTGGATTTGAACCCAAATACCATGTTCCATTGCCTTTAACACAAGCCTAAAAAAAAAAACAGTACAAAAGTTAAGGCAGTGAAATGAGCTCCTCTCCCACCCTGACCTCAATCCCAGAGACAACCTTTGTCATCGGGGTCTTGTGTATACTTGCAGAAATGAGTAAAAAAATAAATCATTAAATTTCTCGCTAAGTTTGTTTATGGATGCCAAACTGCCTAGGGAGCTGGTGTGTTCATTTTGGGGAATGAAAATACTAACCTAGAAGATAAGATCCGTTTATATTTTCCCTTTCGAGAAGGAGCACATGAAAACCACTGGTTCTGGTGCTTTCATTACCAATCACTATTTTCTAGTAATCTAAAAAAAAAAGGACACCAAATTCACATCCTTTTTATACTCAGAAATGTTCTTTTTGACGGTGAATGTGAAGCCATTCCTCTTCAAGTTGTCATTCCCTGCATAGTAGACCATATGATTGTCTGATTCAAAAAGGCCAATACCAGTCCATCTCAGCTCACTAACACCTAGGATATCAATCTTCAAGTGTTCCTTTTTTTTTTTTTTTGACAACTTCCAATTTTCCTAGATTCATACTTTGTACGTTCCACGTTCTGATTATTAATGGATGTTTGTAGCCATTTCTTCTCATTTTGAGTCATGCCACATCAGCAAATGAAGGTCCTGAAAACTTTGCTCCATCCACGTCATTAAGGTTGACTCTACTTTTGAGGAGGCAGCTCTTCCTCAATTGTATTTTGAGTGCCTTCCAATCTGAGGGGCTCATCTTCTAGCACTATATCAGACAGTGTCATGCTGCTATTCATAAGGTTTTCAGCGGTCAGTTTTTTCAGACGTAGATCGCCAGGTCCTTCCTAGCCTGTCTTAGTCTGGAAGCTCAGCTGAAACCTGTCCATCATGGGTGACCCTGAGGGTATTTGAAATACCGGTGGCATAGCTTCCAGGATTATAGCAGCACACAAGTCACCACGGTATGACAATGGTAGATAAACTCATTTAGTAATGCTTTATTGAGTATTGACTTTGAACTAACCACTCTGCTAGGTACTAAGGAGCAGAGATGAACAGTCTGTGGGGAAGGCAGAAGAGTAAATCATCACAGTCCCCTAAGATAAGGGCGGTATTGGGGAAATGCTGGGGCTAAGGTCCTTGGGTGGTGCAAAGGGTTTGTGCTTGACTATTAACCTAAAGATTGGCAGTTCGAACCCACCCACTGATGCCACAGAAGAAAGGCCTGGAGATCTGCTTCCGTAAAGATTGTTGATTCCGACTCACGGCGACCTCGTGTACGCAAAGTAGAACTGCTCCATAGGGTTTTCAAGGCTGTGACCTGCCAGAAGCAGCTTGTCAGGCTTATCTTCCGAGGCATCTCTGGGTGGCTTTGGACTGCCAACCTTTCAGTTAGTAGTCCAGTGCTTAACCATTTGCAGCCAAGAAAACCCTATGGAACAGTTCTACTCTGTAACACATGAGGTCACCATGGGCCGGAATTGACTTGACAGCAACTTTTTTGTTTGTTTTAATACGGGCACAGAAGAGGAAAATCAACGCAGGCTAGGACCAGAGTGGGGGGCTGCCTGGAGGAGGAGGCTTTTCATCTGTATCTGAAAGGACCAGTAAGAGTCAGCCAGGCAGAGAAATAAAGAAGGGAATTCCAGGCGGGGGAACAGAAAGGCAATGGCTTGGGGGAGAAAAGGACCATGGCCAGCTTGGGGTTTGGAGTCAAGCATAATTGCTAATACCCAGGGTGGGTTGTGGGGAGTCAGGAGATAAGTCTGGGAAGATGGGCAAGGATCTCAAAAGAGGTTGCTGTGTAATTTAGGCCAGGATGGAAGAGTACTTGAATTAGAGGGGATTGGAGAGGACAGGGTAGGAAAGTTGTTTCAGCAAGACCTGGTGGCCAGATGGGTGTGGTGGTGAGGGAGAACTAGATGTGCCAGAGCCCTTCCAGGAGAGAGAGGGAATCCAGGAGGAAGTGGGGAAGGACAATGCACTGACATGGTGTATGATGAGGTAATGTGTCCACAGGATGGCCAGGGGATGCATTCAGGAGGCAAGAGCTCTGACACGTCTGCAGCTCCAGGGACGGCTGGTTGGAGGGACAGATTTGAGGGTCAGCTTATGAAGAGGTTAGGGAAGAGTGAGGGAGACTGGAGGACAGACCCTGGGAACAGTGACATTGAAGGTGGAAAGAGGGGTCCATGTTGGAGACTGATGAGCAGTAGTCGGGGAGGTGGGGGTGGTGATCAGGACCCCAAGAGAGGAGAGGAGGTGAGGAAGGCAGAAGAAGAAAGTGGCCAGGAAAGAGCAGGGCAGGAAAATGTCCTTTGGATTTGGCAGCTGGGAATCTCTGGCCTCGGAAAAGCAACTTCTGTGGGAGTGGGTCAGGCTGTAGATGGCTGGGATTGAGGGATTGCTGAGAGAAGGAAAGGAGGGAGAGAGCCAGAGCAGGTGTGGGCCGAGGCCAGGGCCTCTTTTGCTTGTTGTTAAAGATATAATAGCAGTAATAATAACCAACATTTATCGACTGCTTGGAGTCCCTGGGTGATGGCAAAGTGTTAACGCACTCAGCTGCTAAACGAAAGGTTGGCAGTTTGAGCCTACCCAGAGGTGCCTGGGAAGAAAGACATGACAATCTACTTCTTTAAGATCACAGCCCTCAAAAACCCTATGGAGCACAGTTCTATTCTGACACACAGGAGGTTGCCATGTGTCAGAATCAACTCGACTACAATGTTACTGGTTTATTGACTGCTTCCCATGGGCCAGACATTGTTTCAAGTGCCTTAAATGTATTATTTAATTTAATCCTTTGAACATCCTTTGAGGCAGGTACTATTATTATTTCCATTTTATACATAAGGAAACTGAGGCACGGAGAAGTTATGTAACTTTCCCAAGGTCACACAGGTAGCAAATGGCAAAACCCAGACAGAGTGAGTATGAAGATTATAAGAGGGTGGAGAATTCGCATTAGTTAGCATATTGTGTTCCTCATTAAAAAATAAAAGATAGAAATGGAAAAGTTTTTTTTTTTTTAAACAAATAAGCCAAAACACACAAAAAGAAAATAGGCAAAGCTATGAAAATGAACTTCTATAAAATTACTATAACCAAATCAACAGATTTTTAAACAAATGGCTGGCAGACAGAAAAAAGGTAAAAAAAAAAAAACAAAAACGATATGTGAGAGGAAGGGATGGAGGAGGTGAGAAGTGTGGGGTCTGTCAAATGTGAGGGATCCACCTGGCCAGGAGCAGGGAGAGGAGTGGAAGGTGGGGCTTGTTAGGATGTTCAACTTGGGTTTTGTGGGGAGTGGGGAAGCTGGCCATGTAGGTAGGAGCCCAGGTCTTCTGCTTAGAGTGAGGGGGGTGTCATGGATTGAATTGTGTCCCCCAAAAATATCTGTCAACTTGGCTGGGTCATGATTCCCAGTATTGTATGACTGTGTACCATTTTGTAATCTGTGATTTCCTTATGTGTTGTAAACTCTATCACTATGATGTAATAAGATGGATTAGTGGCAGTTATACAGATGAGGTCTACAAGATTAGATAGTGTCTTAAGCCAATCTCTTTTGAGATATAAAAGAGTGAAGCGAGCAGAGACACATGGGAACCTCACACCACCAAGAAAGCAGCACTGGGAGCAGAGCGTGTCCTTTGGACCTGAGGTTCCTATGCTGAGATGCTCCCAGACCAAAAGAACTGATGCATCACAAGGACCTTCGTCCAGAGCCAACAGAGAGAGAGAGGCTTCCCTGGAGCTGATGCCCTGAATTTGGATTTGTAGCCTCCTAGACTGTGAGAGAATAAATTTCTCTTTGTTAAAACCATCCATTTGTGGTATTTCTGTTAGAGTAGCACTCGATGACTAAGAAGAGGGAGATGGAGAGTTATGGGTCTGTGTACTGCCTGACTGATCTTACTGCCAAGCTAAAAAGACAAATTCAGTCCCATCTTGGATCTTCCATTTATTTTTTCATTTGGTTTATACTTACTCAGTGTTTTCTCCTGGCATTTCTAGGTCAGTGGATGTACCTCCTATATCTTGAGACACCGGATAACATCTTTAAAAATCCTTTGGAACATCACTTTAAATTCTTCTACTGCCTCTAGGTTAAGCTTACTCAAGTATTTCTAAGAATTAGGTTATTGGTGTTTTATAAAATAAAGGAAAAAACGGTCTTCCCAGGTCTCATCAGTGTCACTGCTGTGGCCTCGTGTTACTTCCCAGTTGTATTATGCATTTCATGTTTCTCGTTCTTAGAGGTTGTAAAAGTAGCAAGTATGTAGATTTGTCAGAAAAAAACTGCACCTTCATTTATTTTTATGGGCTTTCCCGAGGCAATATATATTTCTTTTTGCTAAAGAAGTTTAAATTATGTAAAGATGGATCATATTTTTATAGACTGTATAGAGATTTAGTTCTAAAAACTACCCAACATCTTCATAATGATCAACAGATAATAGATATGTAGACTTTAATTTTTAATGTGATTTATGTTTTTAAAAGCAAACACCTTGGTGCAGGTACAGCCCTGACTATCAAGTCCCAGCCCCTGGCTCTTTCACAAGACTCTGGGGTCTGAGAAGATGGGGCATGGTCTTTTTTCTCTTTGACCATGGTTGCTAGCACAGTGCCTGCAAGAATAATAATGCATGCAATAAAAAAAACAGGTGTATTGAGTCGACACCAACTCTTGGTGACCCACGTGTGTCAGAGTAGGACTGTGCTCCATAGAGTTTTCAATGGTTAACTTTTTGGAAGTAAATCACCAGGCCTTTCTTCTGAGGCACCTCTGGGTGGACTCGAACCTCCAACCCTTCGGTACCACCCAGGGACTCCAATAACCCATTGCCATCGAGTCAATTCAGACTCATAGCAACCCTATAGGACAGAGTAGAACTCTCCCATAGGGTTTCCAAAGAGCATCTGGTGGATTCAAACTGCCGACCTTTTGGTTAGCAGCTCAGAGCTCTTAACCACTACGCCACCAGCGTTTCCAGAGACTCCAATAGCGGGCATTAATAGAGTAATCACTCCACAGCAGTTCATAAAAGAATTAATGAATGATCAGGGTGAACCTAGTTGATGAGTTAAAGAACTGCCAGTCCAGCATAAGTAACCAAAGGTGTCCCTGAGGAGTAAAAATGACAAATGTTTTGTCAGATTTTATTCTGTTGCCCTCTGAAAAGGGTTCAGAAATTATTATTCTCTGAAAGGTACATTTGGTTCTTGATGTATCATTTACTTTTTGTTACTATTTTGTTTCCCCCTTCTAGCTCCTTGTTGGGATTGTGGCCTTTTTGAGTGGAGTGCTAACACTGAAGCTTCCAGAAACCCTCGGGAAGCCTCTGGCGACTACTTGGGAGGAGGCGGCCAAACTGGAATCAGGAAAAGATAGCTGTTCTGGCAAATTACTTCCCACAACCAATAATATTGTGTTGGAAAAAATAGAAGTGATGAATGCAGGGGATTGTGGTCTTTGTGAATAAATGTGCCATATGTGCTGTCTAGCACCTGAAATATTGTTTACATTAATGCCTTTGTATTAGAGGAATACCATGCTCATCTCCTGCATGTTGTTTATGCCTTTTTTTTATTTGTAAGAAATTTTTAAAAAAAATTGTTTTGTAAAAGAAATAAAAACCAAGATGAGAATTCTCATTTTTTAAAAACCACTTTCTTATTGCTGTGAAGTATTTTTCTCTTTTTGTTCTTCTATGTCATTGATTCTCAACCTTTGCCTTCCATCAGAACAAATGTCCCCTCCTCCCCCAGGGACTGTCATCTGGGGTGGGGGCTGTGAGAGTGTGTTTCTGTTGACAAAGCCCCTTGAAGATTCTGTTTCTGCTATTCCTTCTCCTCCTATGAGAATCACAGCTCTAAATACAAATCTTATTCAGAAATGCCCTATCAACAAATGTGCATCTTTATAATTTAACTGTAAAAGCTAGAGCTACAAAAAATGGTATCTTGCTTTCCAACACCCTGAGTGAAGAAAGTTTGAATGTGCAGACAACTGTGCTTGTGAGAGGAGTGAATTTTCTAGTCTGGTATTCATATATTTTCCCAAATTCTCCCCATAAATCTCCTTCACAGTATAGAGAAACTGGTATTTTTGTGCATTGCAAACTTTTAAATTTGTAGATCATCTGGGGAATTAGGCTTAAATACCACGTGGGTTTGTTGACAATGTAAAAAAGAAAAAAAAAGTATTGTTGCCTCTTTTTTTTGTAATTTATGTGAAGGTTTTACTGTTAAGTACTAAATTTCTTCCCCCAACTGCACTTAAAACCATGGTTTTGCAAAAACAGTTTAATATCCTGGACATTTCAACTGCAATATTATGTCATAATCTTATCCATTAGAGGAAGGCATTTCAGAGTTACAATATTTCTGTTAAGGTTTTGTGTTTCTGTTTACTAAGGTTTCATCATGAGTTCATCAATTTTTTTCTTTGGTCTTGAAATTTAGCTGTTGGATACGTCTTACATCTACTACATTAGAATTGACGAACTATAACTGGAGGAGCCCCCAAGACTATGGCCCTAAAACACCCTTCTAACTTGGAACTGAAACATTCCCAGGGACTGCCTTTCAGTCAAACCATAGACAGGCCCATAAAATAAACAATAATACCCGAGAGGAATGTGCTCCTTAGAACACTCAATTATACGATCAAAAGGGCCACATTTGCCCTAAAGCGAAGATGAGAAGGCAGAAAGGGGTAGAAAATCAGGATAAAAGGAAAAGAGGAATCCAGGGCAGAAATGGGGAGAGTGCTGACACATTGTGGGGAATGCAATCAATGTCATGGAACAATTTATGTGCAAACTATCAAATGGGAAACCAATTTGCTTTGTAAACTTTCACCTAATGTACAATAAAAAATTTTTTTAAAAATCGATAAACTATAAGTGTTATCTTCAGAGGCAAGTGAAACAAGGATTAGGCAATTACATAGATGCTGTGGGTTGAAAAAGCATTGCTAAGGAGGGGGGAGGAATTTGACCTGAATTATTTAGACTTTTTATGTTAGTTTGGTTCCCTGGGTAATTGCTTAGTTCTTTACTTAGTCATTTGCTTATAAAGTAAAAAATAAAATCAAAGGCTTTTCTGTCTTTGTAAAAGGAAAACAACAACAAAATAAATGAAGAGAGTTAAGAGGATATGAAAAGAAAGGAGGAAGACATTTTAGCCTTTCTCTTATCTCTTATTTGTCTCTTCCTTTTTTTTTCCCCATCCTTAACCTTTTTTTCCTACTGTCAATTCAATTTATTTCTTGACTTTTTAAAAATGTTCTTTGCACAAATGCCTAGGTATAATTTAAACAAGAAAGTTTCCCCAAATTAGTCCATAAACTGAATGCAACCCAATCAAAACCCCAATTTTTGGGGTGTGTGTGTAAGTTTATCAGACTACATGCTAGAGAGAACAAAGAAGAATAAATGAGGATTTGTCTACTAGCTACTCGATATCAAAACATACTATAAAGCTGTAGTAATTAAAGTTGTGCTCTTCTTGGCAATTGGACAGAATAGAGAGCCTAGAAACAGACCTATGCATTTAGAATGTGCTCAAATTGACATTTCCAACCAGGAGATTTGATATTAGTATAAAAGGCTATGCATTTGGAAATAAGGTTAAATCTCAACCTTAATCTATAAACAAAAATAAATTCCTGATGCATTCAAGATTTAAGTGTTAAAAAAAAGTCACAAAATACAAGAAGAAAATATAGAAAAATATTATAGTGCTGGAATGGAAAAAGCCTTTCCAAAAGTGACTACAAAACCTGAAATCATAAAGGAACAGACTGACACATTTGATTTCATAAAAATAAACCTCATAATAAAACCTCCACAAATAACGTTTTAAGAAAAGGACAAACTGTGAAACAATACATGCAGCTTAATGGTTGGGTATATAGTTTTAATCTATAAAATAAAACTGGTAATAAAACATCCTAGTTATGATGGAATATTTAAAATACGTAAACACTTGTGTACCTACTTCCGGCTTAGGAAATAAAATATTACCTATAAAACTGAAGGCTTCCTGACTGTCCCAGAGGGCAATACCCTCCTAAATCCAGTAATTTCCATTCCTATGCATTTCTTTATACTTATTGCCCATGTATGTATCAATGTATCAGTCAATGCCGAGTCAGAAAAACAGAAATCATCTGAGATATTTCGGGCACAGAGGAATTTAAGGTGGGGGATTAAGTACAAAATTGTAGGAAGGACTGGTAGAGCAAAAGGGTGAAGAAGTGACTCAGAGATCAGGAAGCTGCTACCACCGCTAGGCTGGAGCCCACAAGTCTGCACTTTCTGCTTTCACCACTCATGTTAAAACCACATTTCTTTTATTTATTTATTTATGTTTGTTTGTTTATTTATTTAATTGTACTTCAAGTGAAGGCTTACAGAACAAATAGTTTCTCATTAAACAGTAGTACACATACTGTTTTATGACATTGGTTAACAACCCCATAACATGTCAACCCCCTCCCTTCTTGACTTTTTTTTTTTTGGTGAACATATACATAGCTAAAGATACACCGTTTCAAAAATTTCTACATGCACAGTTCAGTGACATCGACTATGCTCTTCCAGTTGTGCTGCTATTCTCACTTTAGATGAAGGTTTAGAGAACAAAATGGTTTCTCATTAAACAGTTAGTACACATGTTGCCCTATGACAGTGGTTAACAACCCCACTACATGTCAACACTGTCCTTACTCAGCCTTGGGTTCCCTATCACCAGCATTCCTGTCCCCTTCTGCCTTCTAGTCCTTGTCCCTGGACTGCTGTGCCTCATTAGTCCCGTTTTGTTTTATGGGGCTGTCCACTCCCCGGCTGAATGGTGAACCTCGGAAGTGACTTCACCACTGAGCTAAAAGGGTGTCTGGGGGCCATACTCTCGGGGTTTCTCCAGTTAAACCACATTTCTGCTGCTGATCCTGGGGCACACGCCCTCACTGATACTACTAAAACTGCCTGTCATGTTTCCACTTGAACTGAGTTGAATTTTTAGATTAATTTAGGGAAATTTTACTTTTTTCTTCTAGTACTGACACTTCTATCCATTATAGTGGTTTATCTCTCCACCTGTTTGGCTCTGCTTTAATGTCTTGTCATGAAGTCATTGAAAGGTCATGGACTTTTTTTGTTATATTCATCCCTAGATACATATTTTGGTTGCGATTAGAAATGCTATGTTTCTATTCCCGAGGCCAACTCTTCAGACAAAGATTGGTGGACTGTGGGACATAAAATGATACTCTGAAGAGTGTGCTTCTTAGCTCAAGCAGACACATGAGACTAAATGGGCAGCTTCTGTGTGGGGGTGAGATGAGAAGGCGGAGAGGATCAGTAGCTGGTTGAACGGATGCAGGAAATCTGGGGTAGAGAGGAAGCGTGTGCTGTCACTGTATAGGGAGAGCAATTGAGGTCCCATAACAGTGTATGTATAAATTTTTGTATGAGAGAATGACTTGAATTGCAAACTTTAACTTAAACTACAATAAAAAAATAAAAATAAAAAATAATAAAAAAAGAAGTGCTATGTTTCTAATAATTGTATTTTCTGTTTATTGCTGGTTTAAAGGAATGTGGTTGATTTTATATCTAGCAACTTTGGTTAAAGTGTTTTTAATTCAAAAGAAAAATAAAAAGTCTTGCTTTATTGGGAAAAAATGAGGCTTTTTATTATAACAATTGACAAATAACCACACAAGAAGCCGAACACACTTTGTTCCTTCAGCATTTCTTAATATGCACAGCCCTCTGATTTTCTACTTGAGAAATATTATATTATATATGTCTATAATAATTGGAACTTACTCATAGCACAGTTCCTGGGTGGTGCAAATGGTTAAGCACTCAGCTACTAACTGAAAGGTTGGTGGTTTGAACCCAAACAGAGGTGCCTTGGAATACAGGCCTGGTGATCTGCTTCTGAAAGGTCACAGCCTTGAAAACCCTATGGAGCAGTTCTGCTCTGCACCCATAGGCCACCATGAGTTGGAATCAATAACAAGTTACAGCACATCAGATATGTCTCCAATTGTTAATATTTCAGGGAGTACTTTACCATGGCAATGGAAGCTGAGAACAAACCACATACAAGTAGGTAAACTTCAGACAGACAACCTCACTACTTAGTTCTATTTAACTGGGGATGAGCATTAATTTGACCTCCACAGGCAGTGAAATGTGAGAAGCATAAAAAGCCCGGCTTCAAGCCCTTCCACTTGAGCAAGTCAACCTCTCTTCACCTCAGTTTTCTTATTCACAAATTCAGGATAATAATAAAATGTCTTTCATGGGATTGTGGAGATTAAATGAAATAATATATCTATATCCCATTTAATGCCATCCTGCCCAGCCCTAATTTGTTACAGCGGTAATTCTCCAAGCTCTGTGTACTATTCTACCATTCAGCCAGGGATAGCATAGTACGTGGTGGTCCTGTCCACTCTTGGTCTTGTTCATTGAGCATACTTTGGTTAAAGCTCGCATCTTGGAGTCTGACACTCAGACTGGGCTTTTCCACCCAAAAGCTGTTGTGAGACCTTGGGCCTTTCCTTAGGCTTTTGGAGCCTCAAGTTACCCATCTGTGTTGTTAGCTGCTGTTGAGTTG